TTAACAGTATCGCAGCTCCTTACTTGGACTTTTTTTCATTTTGTTTTACATCAGACAAGCCTATTGCTGTCATTTGTAAAGAACAGAATAGCTGCTACAGTTTTAATATCAAACACAGGAAAAAAATACCCAGCAGCTGTTCATATTTTCTAGGAAGTCTGTTATAATAATGATGTCATGGAAAAAGGCTGGAATCTATTAAAATGGATCAGACAGGCAAGCCATTCAAAGCCTTCAAACAATATGCATATACAAGCTGCACTGTGTACCTTACATTAAAATAAAAACACACAAATAGTGGAGTTCCTTAAAAATGTTATTGAGATCAGGCAATTAAAGTAATTTCATAGATTTACTTCAATAAATTCAGTTTACTACTAGAACTACCCAATAAAGCGAAATACAAAAGCTACAACCAGCTCACTGTCAAGTAAGCTCACTTTCACCTATAAAAGCATTTAAATCTATTTTTAAATCACTGGCTCAAGCTACATAGGAACAAAGAAGCTCTCCTAGCAAAAGAGCAGCAGTGAATAATTTGTAAACTAATAATTCAATTTACCTTGTGTTTTTCCAGAGTCCACCAAGTCAACTATGTATGACACCAAATTTTGAAAATTCGGGGTACACTGATGAGTTGACATGTAAAGGGCATATATTACAGACAAAGCATTATAAATCTGAGATCAAGTTAAAAATATATTCTTAAATTTCTTCCTTTTCAAATCATCAAATAGAATTTGTACCGTCTAACTATAAAATACAGGGTACAGAAGCCCAAAATGAATGAAAATACATCAAAACTCAAAAAATTAATGAAACTACAAATTGGTTTAAAGTGGTAATTCCACTCATATAATGAATACCTCAATTCAGGTCATCTGAAGAGATCTGTTTGATGACAGCCCTGGTCAGTTTTACATAAGCTGGACCACATATTCAGCTACATTCAACATTACAAGTACAGGTATCTATTAAAAAAAAAATAAAAAAAAATTCAAAACCTACTATCAGAACTCCAATAGAAAATTCTAACTGCAAAGCAGAATTAAAACCCCAGAAAACAATGACCCAAACTTTATAGACACTTCCACACTGAGGCCATTAAACACCTCCTCCTGAAAATGGATATGTATGAACATATTTGAGTTCACACAAGTCTGGCTGCAAAATCTGATCCCCACTATCCTACTCACATTTCCAGCCCCAGTAAAAGGAGGAGGTTATGCATGCACTAAAAGCAATAGGTTAGGCACACAAGTGGCTCTGCGCACTTCTCTAAAGACTCAAAAGATTTGAGCCAGGGTACAATAAAATGAATCTGAATGCCTTATCTTAGGCACCTCACAGTGTTCATAAATTTTTACTTTAAGCTGTTATTGAATAAAATAAAACAGTGTTAACATCTCAGATGAACATTCAGGGCAGCTTATAAACTATTCAGTGATTAATGTCCTTGTCTCATGTTTTCAATTTTCATTGCTAGTAGAGGTCATATGTTATGATGTCAGCTTGAATCTAGATTTCCATTTTGAGCAAATTTAATTTAAATTATGATCCTAAGGCATATGGTAAAAATCACTTTTAAGTTCCATACTGAGTAAATTTATTCACTCTGCTAATAGGATAGATTTCACATTCTGGTGCCACTTACTCATCAAACAAACACAGTTTGGGTGGATGGTCCCAGACAGTAAAGATGCCATAGGCTGAACGTGCAGGAGCAGAACTCACCTATACCAAGATTATACTTGCCAACCTTGAGTGCAGGGGTTTGCAAGATATTTGGTCAATAATGGGAAATTAGTAAAATCCCCAGAGCATGACGTAAATTGAATCTGCCAAAAGGATTCAGAAGGAGGAAGAACAGAAGTCTTAAAAGAGATCTGAGCTGGAAGAAGACTCGGGGCGCATCTTCCTTAGGAGTTAGTGGGATGGAGATGTTTCTTGGGGCCTCTCACTAGTAAGACACTCACCCCTTTACTCTGCCATGCTCATCAGGCTGGAGAATTCCTCACCAAATTGCAAACAGAAGTTTTATGAGACAGCTGAGATCAGAAGACAGTAGGTTGCCAGTGAAAAGACTACTCTCCTCTACCTATCCCATCCTCATCCTCCTCCTATTTCCCTTGGACTATTGCTGCTTTTTTCATTACCATGTCTGTGACACCAGCTTTCACAACTAAACCACTTGAGAGCTACCTCTGTCTTCTTTCTCCCTGGTCCCTGCTCCCCAAAAGAAATAGTTTTCAGGTGGTTGTGCTCCCTAAGACAACTCACTAACCCTGTTACCCAAGTAACAGTCAGCTCAATAATTTGATTGGTTTCAAGCCCATGATATAGAGTAACAATTTTCTGTATATTGCCACGCCCTTCTCACAGATGCAGTGGTGCCATGTGAAACGTGAACAAAAAATTGTTTCAGATGAAGTTATTAGGTTTGATGTTATAGCTTTTTTTTTTGACTTTTTTTTTTTTTCTTTTCAAAGAAGAAATATTCATGGAATAACAATGACTAAAGTCCTTCTCAAAGTAAAACCAAGCTCAAATGGGTTTTTCAGATATGAAATGCATGAAGCACCAGAATTATTATTGCTTTCTTCTATCATTTATTATTAAGTTTTTTCCCAGTAATAAATAGTAGTGAAGGTATACAAATTAAATATTTCTGCACATCCTTTGAATTACAATGATTTCTTATATTGGTAAAGCAGTGGCAGAAACAACCAGTACAACCCACTGGAACTGCTTCAACCATCACATAAGGAAGAGCATTCAGAATTTATGTAGTCATTAAAATTTCAAAGCTCATTTTGAATTGGTCAAGTGTTGAAAAATTACTGCTGAAAGAGTGGACAATCTTCTGTAGCATTTTACAAAAAGATGCCTATAATGCAGCATATGCCAGCTCAAATGTTTTGCATTACAAAGGTATAACTCTAAAAACAAGGACTGGTACAGGAATTACGTGGAGAAAGCATGCTCAAGAGGTTTTTTTTTGTTTAATTTACTAAGGCAATTTTTTTTTGCCCCAAAAACGATTGAACTGACTAGGAACATCATATAAGGTGTCCAAGGTATTGCCTTCCTCCCAGGAGGCATTTTAAGCACAGAGTCATCCAACACCCTTCAAAAGGTCTTTAGTGTGAAGCAATAAAGCCATTTACATTTATGCAGATGTACAACCAAAAGCCATGGATATATACATCCACACAATTACACTGGTTCTATTATTATCTTTGTATTCATTTCAGATTCAGGCAGATAAACAATTAACTAGGGTACTGTAGAAGCAGGAATAGCATTTGCTATCACGTAGTTAAATATGGTAAATAAATTACTAATCTTGAAATGTTTAAAAAAAAAACAGTATTAAAAATGTTCTTTGTTAAAGGAAATATTCAGCTTAAAAAATGCTTGAACAGCTAATAATGAAAATATTAATTTTCTGCAAGAATGGGAATACAAAGATTTGGGACAGAACACAGAAAAGCAATAGCATTTTAACAGTCTTAAGAGTTCTTATATATCATGTTCCTATATAAATAAAGATTAACATAGAAAATATTATACTTAATTCATTTGTTTAGTTTATAATGTTTGGAAGATAACATAGCTTTTTATTTTTTTAATACCTCCATGCAACTTACTGGCATTTCAAGGTTAGCACATCCATTTTTATAGGAAAAGGCTACAACTTTATTTTAAATTTAACAGGCATTCATTCTTTTTCCTTTCAAAATCTAGGTATAAGTAACAAAGCACCAGAGTCTTATAAATTTTCTAACACCAAATGCAAATTAAGTCATGAAATTGCTCTAGGAAAAGTTCCAAGAATGTAAACCCAGAGGAACTTCAACACAATTTCTCAGCTTCAGGCTCTTTATGATACTGAGGCAAGGTAACAGAATATGGTGCAGTCAGGAAGCACTACCTGTGTATGGAAAAATGTTTGATTCTCCAATTTCAACAACTTCCTGCATTGTGTTTATAAGCTCTAGGATGAAATAGATGCATACAAAAAGGAAGAAACTGGAAGGATGGCAATGGCTGTGTAGATTAAACAGCTCACAAAGTTTTCAGTGGCCTGGAAAAGTGGGTTGACAGTTCATAACTTAAAGGACATCATAGGTTCTGTAAACATCTATCAAATTTCTGTGTTTCTGTATCCTTTACTTGGGTCCAGTGAACTGCTTACCTGCATTGTCTCAGCCTGCGTTAGAAGTAAAAACCACACAACTCCCCCTCATTTTGTGTAAGGGAAAATTGCTCACATTTTGGTTTTATGTCAGCTCTGACTATAAGGCTTTACAACACCACCTCCAGCAAAGTGGGAGTTTTCCCATTATGAACAGAGTAATTATTTAATCTTTCAACAATCCTCCTGAAAAGACTCAAATCCCTTTTTTTCTTAAGCACTAGGCAGGAGTTTTAGCAGACTGTTTAAACAAAGAGCTGATGACTTTTTGCTCTGCCGATCTACCTCTTGTTTACCCCAGGGGAGACATCATTCAAAGAATGACAGCTTAACTTACCAGGCATGCTATTTTTTAACAATAACCCCAAGGGGACTAGGGACATTTCCTGAACACGAAGTTTAGGTCTCCCAATGGGTATCTGAAAATGTGAGACAGACAATGACAAGCAGCCTGCACCAGAGTCATGCTGCCAACACCTGGTGTCTGTGTGCCCATTACCTCCAGCCACTTGCACAACTGGCTCCCTTCAGTTCTTCTGTCAGGAAACAATTTTTTACAAAACCCCTTCTTGACAGACAGCCTAGGTACTAAGCATTCAAAATAATAGCACCATTCAAACTTGAGAAAGACATCTGTCTTTCTCAAATATCCTGCTTGTATCACTGCGAGCATCTCAAGTGACTTTTCTTCAGCTTTTAAAGGGTAGTTCATGAAGGGTGAACACTTCTGCATTTACTTTGTGATGGTGCTTATAAGCAACAACTTCTTAATAAAAAGAAAATTAGTTAACTCAGTTCTTACCTGTAGAGCTCTTAATTTTCAATAATTATTCTTGTCTCACAGTGTAAGTAAGATGATATAATCTACAACAGAGCAGAAAAATATCAATTACGTATGATATTTTACATTTAACATTAGTGTTAGAGTTCAGTCATTCTTGAGCAAAATGACAAATAAAATGTTGTGGCACATAACCTATGTGGCACATATGAAGCAGCAATTGCACAATGTTGCATATATTTACTAATAAAAATTGCCTTTTTCCTTTCCCAGTACTCCTGCTCAGACATGGAGGTGTAAGAGTTTTATCTACCTCCATGCATTACTCATAACACTCATGCTGTAGTTAGATAGATTAAATAATTAAGGTCCTGCTGACACAGTATTTCTTGTCACTAAACACCCCAATCAATTGAATTAGGTGCTTTAGGAAGAGGTGTGTGACTGGGCTGAGAAGCACTCAACTCCCATCAACTTCTAATGAGCTCTTTAGTAAAAACATGCAAAAACCCCCATACTCCCTAAAAGTATGGATCTCATTACATCCCAGTGAAGCCTAATTATAAATTAACACTCTGAACTGCAGCTAAACAAAATACTGAGCCTGAGTTTCTACTGGCCAAAAAAAGCTCCTGGTCCAAAAAGCAGCAGCCACACTGCAGAAACATTTCAGTCAAGACAGCCCACATTTGTATGTGCCATCTCCCACTGAGGGCAGAAGCTATGGGCTCTAACCTTTCATGCAAGTTGCTGAAAATGCAATAGGTATCACAGCCAGCTACATCTACTGTTCTTTAATCTACATCTAGTGCCACACTTGTGACAAGTTTTTCATTTATTGTTCACTAAGGGCTCTTTGCTGACTTGATTTTACAGAGAGACTGACCAAGAAGCTTTGTTGTTAGAAACAGTCTATGTGAGCATCTGCAGAACTCAAATAACTTCTTCTTTCCTGGTTTGGGGTTTTGTCTTGTTGTTGTTTTGTTTTTCTCCTTCAGCTAACCTACCTAGGGCCAGCATAAGTTGTCTCCGTTCTAGGAGAATTTGCTGGCATAACCATCACAAAATATTTATGCCTAGCCTACCTGAACAGCACAGCCCTGAGCCAAAAGCCAGCAGAAGAGAACAGCAGCAACACTATTTCACTGCTCAAATATCTGAAGGCCACAGTATTGAGCCTTTGTTCTCTGTGCTGGTTCTCCAAGCTGGACAGGCAACCACAAGCCTCAAATTACACTTCATTGATCCGGGGAAACTGAGGTGGTGTTCAGTTTCAGTTCTGCAACCTGCACGTTGACCTGCCTGTTTGTTGGCCTAAACAATGAGATTTCAGGAAATGAGGTGTTTGCACTTTGTCCAAGTCTCGTTTTCGGGGAGGGGGATCTCTGGAAGCATAACATCTGGACCCAGGCTTTTGCCCTGCATTCCTCCACTGAGAGAGTTTCTGCTTCAAATTCAATATGACCAAAATCAAACACAAACCTAGAAATGGGAGGTGGTCTCAACTAGCCCAAAATCTTTTAGCATAATGTTTTAGCTACCTCCGGTAAAAGTGGAGGATGTATTTAGAAAGAAGACAAGGAAGATTGCAATAGTTTGTTCAGGAGTATTTTACAAACATGTATTCCCACATTTGGAAGATTTCATACAGTCCATCAATACAAAACCAAATCCTAAGCATTTGCAATATAAAATGTACAGTTTATAGGGAAATTTGAAAAATCCACATAACACGACATTAACAAGATCCACAGTAATGGAGTGCCAGCAGTTAAATGTAGAAATAACCTATATAATAATAATAAAAAAAAAAATCTTCAGTTTCTCTATAAAATAACTAAAATTCTCCATGCATACTTTCTATTAAACTAACAGATTAAAGTTGTTCAAATGTGCAATGCAGGAATTTGAGACACAAGCAAAGGCCTTTGTTTCTTTCTATTGTGCCATGAAAACAATTCCAAAAGGATGCTTATAAACAATCTAACTTAACCTCCACCCACTGCCCAAATCACCCCATACAATAGGAATGACACACAAGACATTTTTGAGAAACAATGTTCACTTCTCTCCTGAAAGTAAGAAACACTATCTCATTGTGTTCATGTATGGGAAATAGAAGCCTGGAGTTTCAGTTATTTGCTTGCTACCATCAAAGAATTATAATCTGGTGTCTAACTCAATCTGTTGCAGTACTTTTGTATTGGCTTATCTTTCTTTTAAAGCCTGCAAAACTGTAAAGTACTATTGGACTGAAGCCTTGCCTTATGCCTCCAAGAAGCAATTTATTATTTATTCTGGCTAATTGATTTGTCCCATTCCTTGTCCACATTCAGAAGGCACCTTCTGCTTGGAAAAAAAATCTAGTACTTCTGGACCTCAGGTTGAGGATACCCACCAGAGCCAAGCAAAGACTCTTGTTTTTTAAACAGTCTGACACACTTTCCTCATGTGGTTTTGTTTGTTTTAACGAAGACCTGGTTAGCTTTTATCTTGGTTTTACTTTAATTTAGATAAAAAGATTTATGAAATTCATGTCCATAACCCGGCAGCCACCTCTTGGCAATTTTAAACTATTTTTATTCAGCAACATCTGAAAAAATGCCTGTGTGGCACAAGTTTATGCAAGTGCTTCATTGCACTAAACCAGGATCCTGAAAAGCGCAAAAAGGACATGTCATCACATTAGTTCACTTATTGTCTATCACAAACAGAGAGGAGAACTCTCCACAATAAAAAAGCACTGTTGCGAGCTCAGCTCAGAAATTTTTCTTGCTCAGAGAGTACCTGAGGTACCCTGCAGTAATTTATTGCAGGGATCCAGCTGCATGTCCCACTAGTAATAGATGGACTATACAGAGTAAGTTTGCTTTCCTATTCTTAGCTACCCTACAGCCTTTTATTGTATCTTGGTTTAGTTTTTCCTTCTACTTCACAGCACGAGAAAGAGACAGTAGAAAACAGAACAAACAGAAACCCAGCTGAGACAGTTCCTTCAAAACTAGCAACACGAAATATTAAGTTTCACCTTCTTATCTAGAATATGTAAATGTTTCAGATTCTGATCTCAGGCTGACTTCCACCGAGGGGAGCACTGTGGCTGCCTGGGGAGCGGCCGCTGTCCATCTGCTCTACACTGATACAAGACTGCAATCAGATCTCACCTTGGAGTTTGCCACACACATAAATTAGGGGATCACATGCAAAAGTGGTTGTACTAACGGCAATATAATTTACGGGCAGAAAATATTTTTAGCCTTTTCCCTTCCACCCACTAATGTGAAAACAGTGATTTATCTACATAAATGAAAGAGGAATTTCTTTATACTTGCTCTTTCCAGGGGAACACCCATGCAGTATGTTTACCCACATGTCTATGGAAAACAGAAGAAGTAAACCCATAGTATATAAAATATACTATATAAAATACCAGAGAACTTTAATAGCTAATAAGCTATTAAAATGCCGAGAATATATTTTCTACTATTGAAATATTGCAAATATATGCATCTAACACTATAGAATCATAGAAAATTTTGAGTAGGAAGGGACCTTTTAGAGGTCATTTAGTCCAACCTCCCTGCATTAAAAACTTTATAGCAGTCACATGAATATGCACTGCCTAATAATCACCTTGGTGGGTTTGTACATGTTACTATTTGTGAAATGCCTGTGTACATCCTCCTGGATGACAGAAGGATTTAAAAAAGCAGCGACCAGAAAATGCATGAAGAGTGTGATGTGCCAAGCTGCTGTATGCTGGTAGCCCCTGCACTATTCCCTCATGTTTGTAACTTGTGGTGCACTGGGAGGGAGCTGTGCTCTCCTCACTCAAATCAAGCAAGTCCCAGCGGAAAGAACAATTCAGTATTCCAGCAACTCAACATGGAGCACTGACTTTGAATAAACTTTAACAAGGTGCTCATGACTGAGAAATAACAGCAGCGGATCCCTGAAAGTTTCAGACTAATTGGCAGATGCCTTTCTATGTCAAAAAAAAAAAAAAAAACCCAAAACAAAAAACTGAAACCTGACCCTTGTTGTTCTGAACACATAACAAGTCACATTACAGAACTGCAAAGCTGTACCTCAACCAAAACATAGTTGCAATACAAAAAGCATGAAAAAAAGACAGAACTGCTGGACTCACGCTTGAATAGCACATTCAATCTTATGTTCACAACTCTAAGTCACTGCAAACATCAGCTCATCCACATGTACACAACTCGGGTACATTTCCTATGTCCTCTACCATTGTTTTCTTAGTTACAAGAAAGACAAAAAAATAAAGTATTGCATACAGAACCCATCTTTCTGTTCAGTTTACAGAATCAGTATTCTCTCTCATCTCTCTTTTTGCTAGTTAGATTTACAGCACAGAATGTGGCAAAAGACACCAAATGGCAAGTTGGTGGAAGCAAGAGACACCTCCCATGTGGGTCCCTGTTTTAAAGGACGTATCACTGAGGGACTCGGGTCTGTAACATAGATTTACTGTATTTGACGACTGCAGGTGTGTAGTTCTTAACTAGACAACAGTCAAACAGTTGGACCAGCAGAATGTCCTTATTTTTCAGTGTCTTAGAGAAGGTTGGCTACAATCAAACAGTTTTTGTGGAGCTGATGTGTTTAATAGCCCCCAAAGCAAATGGAGGATGATTAGAATGGTTTTATTATTAAATGTCAGCTGAGACAAGCCACTCAAAGACCAGCATGAACGTAAGTTACACTTCTGCTGTTTCTGACAGATGTGCTCAGCAAAATTCTGCAGTTCTGGGCCACTTGGTGCCATCTGGTTACATTAACAGTGGGAACTATCAGTGTTTTGGAGCAAATCACTCATTGGGACAAAAATGCAATAGCCCTCAACTCATGGCCAGAATTCCCTGATTTGGGAAGTCACTCTGCTTGCTCTGAGCACAGCCATGGTGTATACTTCCTAGGAGGGACAGGAGGCTTTCAGGCTCTTCTTGCTGTGTCAATGTACCCCAGGTGACAAAGAACTGACTTGGTTCCATGTTTATTTCCTGCATTAAACTTGCACAGAGGAGCAAACCCAACAGGGAAACCAGGGGAAACAGGGCAACAGGGAAAATAACAGTTTAGTTGCTCCCTGCAAAAGAGAGGCAGATTTTCGGACAGAGGACTGGTTGCAAAGCCGAGCTTCATATTACAAGTGAGGGAACTGCTTCCTGTTGTTTGATCTGCCCACTTTAGTAAAAGAGCACTTGCTAAATGTGGCATCAAAGGCATTCTAATTGTCATCATTACTTCCACCTGTCCCCTGAAATACAACTCCAAATACCATCTAAAACCTCAGCCTCAGAGTGGCAATGGTGTGTGCCTCTGGTCTAATGCTACGACACGCGCAGTGTCTCGGTCACATCTTGAGCACAGTTCTGCATGAGACACTGCTCTGACGTAGAAGTAAAATGCTGGCACCCAGTCCCCTAGGTAATAAATTTGCTCTCTATGACCTATCAAGATCAGCTGTTCAAACTTCCTATTCAAAGAGGAATTCTCACAATACTATTTTTGAGGAGCTAGATTTTGTTTTTATCAGAGTAACATAAGCTTTTCATGGGAAATGAATGTCTATAATCATTGCTGCTCTTACTGAATAAAATCAGACCAATAAATGAACAGCCAAGCAAACAAAACAATGCAGTGAAAGTGAAACTAACTGGAAAATCGTAATAGGGCCATATCATCATAAAACTTTTATCAACTGTTCAAATAACTTCTGAAGTTAATTACTCTAAAAGTTAAATAGAAATACACTAATGTATCTAATTGCATAAATTTTTCCTTCCATAAATCTCCATCTCTAGTGAAGCCCATAAATTACCTGCATCATTAAACTTCAGCAAGCCTGGTAGTGAACATAAAATTTGACTGCTTACACATCAAAAATCATGACAAAAAACCCCCCGTAACAATCTGAAGCAATCTATATAAACTGTTTCAAATCTGTTTTCTGAATCTGAAAATAGGCAGGATCACACTTACTTGAAAATGCCTGGATCTTTATATTCTGGCTAAATCCAGAAGAACGCACTCCAGTTTCTCAAGCCTGGCAACCAAGAGACCCAGAGGGCAGCCTGGGAAGACTGGTGGAGCTGCTCTGCTTGCAGGGATTTTGCAGGGGAACAAACTGCGTGTGAACTGCCAGCTCAACTCTGAGTGGGCAGCACATCACGCAGTGCAGGGAAGGCAACTCATTGGTAGAGGACATGAGAGCCTTCCAAGGAAAGGGAAAATTCACGACAGATGAACGAACATCTCTTCTGCTCCCTTATTCCGCTCTGCTCTTTCGCATTAATGGAAAATATCAAACTAACAAGGCAGTGCAATATATCACAAGGAAATTGTGACATACATTTCCCTGTCAAAATAAGGCCACATTTTATTTCTGTGATATGCCACAGCAATAACACATTAGTCAACATGCAAAATCCTAACAATAATAATTCAAACATAACACAAGCCACGTGTTGGCTGGTGTTCCCTGTGGTCTTTGCGTAGAAAAGAAGTTGGAAAACATGTAGACACGATAAAGCTGCAAGATTTCAGGCTCCAGCCATATTCATACACAGACTTCATGAGAACCTGGAGCCAATGGTTTTGCAATCCAACCATGGAGCAGCTTTTACACTCTCCTCTCTGGACTCTTGCCTAAATGCAACAGTCTTGAAAAACGTGGCTACTGACACCCTGCTTTTAGACTTTCTGAAGTGTTTTGAGCCTGGGAAGTCCCATCTGGAAGTACACCATGACATGTTCTGGTCTAGAGAACAAGCAGCAACCAAAAGCAGAGACCATTATGGACCAGCTTGGGACAGGCAAATTACCCAAAACACAGCACTGGGTCTAAACCAAATCACAGCAATCCTGGCTCTGCCCACTTTTTTCTGTTTAAAAGGATCCACATGCATTGCAGCCCTATTCTTAAGTTCACCCCTTCCCACTCAATACTGACTTTTATTTTCTGTGTTTTCTTCCCTCTAAGTATTAACCACAGCAATATGAAGGAAAGAATTTTTATGAAATAGAAATACAGCACTGGCAGCATCAAACACTGTCAGCATCAAACAAATGAACACTTCCTTCCTTCTTTACTAATTACACTGAAAAGAATTTACTTTGGCAGAGTCTTCTATCCTAAACTACTATTAATTTTCAAATATTCTTTAGTCATGAAGCCTGTTTAGATCTAGAATTGTTTTTACCCAACTTCTTAGATCTCCCTGAGACTTTTCATCTTCAGACCTAAGTTAATCAGAGCACCAAACTCCTCCTTTAAGAAGTTTTTCTCATGTTTCTTACTTACATGCAATCTGTAAGATGTCATTTTTCCTTTAAAAAAAGCCTGAGGATGATGTTGCTATATTAAAAGCTTATCTAGTGTTTGTTTCTTCAGTGCTCTAATCTTCAAGTGTGGCTTACTAAGGAGACGAATTTTACTTCTGTGTTTCTTATAGGGAAAAAATAATTTACATTTATATATCCTTCAGTTTTATTTCCCTATTTTAACATTTATCCTCCTGAACAAAAATACATATTATTCAGTCCCCATCACTGCTAAAAGCCCCCAAGCTATGCAGTGCTTTAAGTGCCTGTTGTTGTACAACCTTCTACCACTTTTAAAATTACTATGCAATAACATGCTGAGGTTTTACAGGCTTGTTTTCCCCTTGCACTGAAACAAATCACTTATACAGAAAAACAGGCCAAGCTGCATTATGTGCCTCCTAAAAAGTTTCTTCTAAGTGGCAACTTTTGAGCTGGACACTCTTGCCCTTATATCCACATTAAAATGAGCTGGATTTGTTTCGAGGCTACCAGAGGTCACTTTGCACTTCAACTGTATCCTGCAAGTGCCTGGGACAAAACTTGGGATATAAATTGTCTCTGCAGGCAGGCACAGTGGAATTAAGGCTTCTGCCTTCAAGCACCCTGCCTCTGAGCAGCCATCACCTGCTACAGGCTGCAGCATCTACCTGGGTCTTTAACATAATGGCAAAAAGGTTCTTAAGCACGTTATTCTGGATCTAATGATCTGGAAGCAATAGTGAGTTTAGGAGATCTCTTCAGCAGTGCTCATATACAAGCTGATGTACAGACAGTAAGTGTCAAATTTCCCCACAAAATATTTAGATTCATGGCTCCTTAGCAACTTTGCAAGAGTGAAAGCAATAAAAAAAATTATTTTATTCCAGGATTCCTGAAAGGAAACAGAAACTATCTTGATGACGTAAGCTTTTATTTTTGTTTTTAGGGCCCACATGGAAGTCCTTTGCACAGGCACTAGGTACAGAGGGGGATTAGACATTGGCATTAGACTGGAACCCATTTTTCCTTCGAAGGAGGCACTTGTGGAACAAGAGCTTGTAGAGCTCCCTGCTGTATTCAGGAAGGAAGTCATATCTAATTAAACTAGACAGAACAGATGCTTCATCATTTTAGCTGGAAAAGCCGGCAAGGGAGCTCGGCTAGCACGGGGACAGCCAACTGCAGCTTCCCAGCTCGCCAGCAGCCTGTAAAGCTGCTACTGGGGGGCCTTGGCATTGTATTCAAAGCCACTTTTAAGAGCCAATATGGTAAGCTGTGCAAGATATGATGTACAGGGAGCCCCATAAAACCCTTTAATGGAAACAGCAGGCTTGTGTTGGAAAAGGTTTCAAGGAGCAGTGTACACCAGTATAAAGATTTCAGCTCCCATAAGACACCAGGGCCTGAGTGCACCGGCTCCCATAGCCCCAGGCCTCACAAACTTTTGGGATGTTGTTTTCTGTAAAAAGTTTACATCATCCTCATAGAGCAAACACTGATATGATGATGACAGAATGCTTTTTTCCCTGCTCTCTGCTGTGCTAAACCATCAGAGGCAAGGTGAGATGGTAAGCAGGCTAAAAGCCCAGCAGGAAGACAGGCCTGCCAAGCAAGCTGCCTGTGCTACACAAGTCTTACAGGGACACAGGCCTGCTGCTGGGACAGTACCATTTAATGTCCCTGCAATGAGTTATTCTTAGATAAAGCACTATCAATTTCAGCTCCCTCTAGGTGGAAGTCTGAGGCTGTCTTGAGGAGGAGCATAACACTGAGGGTCTTTCTACCTCTTCACCTTCCATTACGAAATAATGTAGTGACCCTTCTCTTAAAGCAAAATCTTTGCAGATTTCTGCCCTCATCACCTGCAGAGTCAAGTATTTACCATTCCAAAGAGAAGGGAAGGCAGGATTACCATTCTGAGTGGCATTTCAGAGGTATGAATGGGGATAAAACCAGCAGCTCTGCCTGTGGTTATCAAGCACCTCTGACTCTCACTTTGCTGCTGTGCTCCTGGGCCCCAGTGATGTGGGATGCAGCTGCTCTGCTGTACAGGGATGTGCTGGTTGGCTACGCTGGATAATTGGGATACCGGCCTGGAAAAGAGGCTACAGGACCACAGGGAACATCACAAGACTTCTGCTTCAAGGAGCCTCATTAGAAAACAGAGATTCCATGGATATGCTGGCCTCTGCTTATGACGCTTTGCCTATAACGTCATCCAAAAGTCCATTATAAAACTCATCAGCACAGCATCATTGGCAGAATGTGACTATCAACAGAATAGATTTTTACCTGTTTACTGAAGCTCTTCCCAGCTTCTCCAAACTACTCAAAGTCACCACAATCACTGGAGGAAAACACAGCAGTGGCTCTAAGTGGGTCAAGAGAAGATCAGCACCAGAAATAAGTCCTTACACACTGGATCTGGAAAACCCCTGATCTTTCACATCTAAAGAGGAACAACAATTTAAGTATTCAAAGGGATGACCTTAAAATTGCAAGCATCAACCATCAGTATGGACCACCCACAGCTGTACATTATATCTTCGTTTCTAAAACTTATGTGAAATCTGGACCATCAAAAACACTGATTGAACTGAAATATTTTTGATATTCATGTACAGTAATTGTACTTTCACTCCTGCTTTGAAGGATTAAAAGCACTAATGCGGTCATTAGGGGATCTCATCTGTTCAAAGCCAGAAATAATTAGAATCCAGGGAGGGAGTGAAGAAGGGTGTGGAAGGGAAAAAACCTAATATAATCGCCTTTTCTTGATGTTTGTTTTGTGCATAAAGACTAACACATTTTCCACCCAAACTAAAATTTCCCATTGGAAAAAAATATAAGTCTTTGGAAAACAGTGAATGACTTTCATGGCTGAGTATCTGGTTTATATTTGGAAAATACAGGAAATACATTCTCTTAATCAGCCCTTTTACCTACTGCCAAAAAAATGAGAGTGCAGCTTTACAGCCAAAGCAAGCTGTTATCTACTCCTTTTATAACTCACTCCAAACCCCTACATTAATGCAATATTGTAAATGAGCACTTAAATGCAGAAAAAACAAAAAAAAAAAGCAAATGTTGAGTCCCTCTGGCCTATGCACACATCCTACAGACTTCCTGGGCCATTTTTACACTGATTTTTCCCAGCACTATTTAATCTTACTAAAGCCCAAACGTAAATCTTCTATAAAACCACACATACAATATATAGGAAATATCATCTGTCCCTAAAAAATTCTCTATGAAAGTGTACATTTAAAATTTCTGGTTGCATACAGTATCATTCCATTCACACTCTTTCTGCTTACAAAATTCAAAGTTATCATATATTCCAGCTACTTTAAGTGTGTTCTCATTTTCCAAAATCCTGCTTTTTTTCTACCAACATAAAATACCCATTTGTGCTGGAGAACATCTCTTGCACCTTACTTAATGCACAATCACTACACAGATGGCTTAAGTCTGTGTAATTAATAGTAAAAAGAAACCCCTGCGTATCAAATCTATTTCATATACACCAAGCACAGCTCCTCAACACAAAGTAAATTTACAATATTTAGAGTGCTTCAGATTCACTACCCATATGGCTGGCCCAACAAAAACCTGACTCATTAGACACCAGCTACCAAACATGGATGTTTGCCACGCAGCTGGAACAAGCATTTTATCAGAACTGGTAAGAGATAAAGCCCGTGGAATCTTTAACACTGTTAAGCAACAGAAGATTGATCCAGCTCCATGTTCGCTGCCAGGCAGGAAGGAATCCCCCAAGGGAGGAAGACATTCATATACATGCAAGGAACACTTTCATTCAGACTTAAAGCAGGAAAGATCAAAAGGACATTGAAAATTTATAATTTGGAGGAACAGAAATTAGAAATAAGCCCAGGTTTCAAAAATACAACAGGTGTTTTAATGAAAATACAGCACAATAGTTAATATATTGAGACAAGGCAGAAAACACTCGCTTCCTAACACAGGGCACCTGAACAAACACTTATTATCCCAACCCAAGAACAACCAAAGGGTTCCAAAGTTTATATGCTAATGTACCTCACTTCAAAGATTTCCTTAAGCTACATCAGAAAGCAAAATTTCTAAGCCTAGAAATTTAGCACTGAAGAAAAGGGGAGTGACAAACTGTCATGCTGTCAAAAGGAAAACACACCAAGAAGTGTTCAAATATTTTTCTTGAAATAGACTATTGCCATTTTCTGTAATTGCAGAACCTGTACCCATGTGAACTTTGTTCCCACACGGTCTGGTAAAAACTTCTGTTTCCCAAGATACTCCTTGACAGCCACTGCTATCCCTTCTAAATTACTCTGTGTTACCAAGTGCTTGCAAATCAGGAATTTGATCTTCTGGCACCTGGCAAAAGAGAGACACAGCTGAAGCCTGACAGAGAAAAGGTCCTGTGGCAACATGGGTTACTGGCAGAAGGCTTGGGTCAGCTGCTAGGACTGTTCAGGAGGTCAAATGAAAGGGGATTTTAAAAGTGAACAGAATAAAATGAGAGAATCCATTTCACTGACTACACCAACTCTTATAGGATTGCTACAGGTGTGGAAAATTAGTCTTTGGAGGAAAAATACTGTGTAAATTGGAGAGAAGTTTAATTGGCTGTGGAAGGGTGTCTCATGTTACAGTTACAGCTTCTTCCTTCCCCCAACTGATCAAGAGGCAGATGACCAGGGGGACACACGGGCTGGGACCTAGGGGCCTGATTTCATTCCCATGCAAGAAACACTTGTCCCTGCAAGTGTTAGACATCCAGGGCAGGGACACCAAACACTCTTGATTGTCTCATTTTCTGTGTGGGACCTAGATGAGTTTCAGTAAGTCTAAAAATAGTGAAGCTAAAGATAAGAAAAAAATCTTACCTATTAATGCTACACTCTTTTTCAAGGGTACTGGGCACAGTGGTTATCAACATTACAAGATGGGTATGATCTAACAACAACATTAAGGCATTAAGTTTCTAACTCACAAGTTACAGAAAGACAGAAGTGGCACACAGTGACTTCTCATCACACATTGATAGCCTTTAATTGTACACGGTCCCAGAAAATCAAGAGAATACATTGTTACCAGAGGAAAATGAAGTACCATTTGTTCACATCTCATTGGGAATAACCAGGTGCTGACAGCACCTGACCTAACACTGATTCAAGCAAAGAAAGGAAATATTTTCAGGGGATTCAACTGATACAGAAACAATGAACACTTACATTAATGCCAGACATCATGGATTTATGTAAAATAGATCTAGGGAAACAAAGTTGTTTTCATCTTCTGATAAGCATAGCAAATCTATGAGATTGAACAACGGTTTACAATTGAGAACATCAATATTTCTGTGCCATCTCACTTTTTATTACCCAAAATTCTGTTCCAAACAGGTTGATGCTAAAAAAAATAATAAGCACCTATTCAAAATACTGGCTGATTTGAGATTCAACACTAATATATATCCAAGCTCTACCAGTAACATCTATATCAAAAGAGACACTGCACAACATTATTGACACCAAAATCAGCTTAGAAATTTTTGTTCCACCTTTAAATGATAACTTAAAGTCAGAAAGAAAACAAGAACTTATAGTAAGCAATTAAAAGTTCAATTTATTTAACTTAGAGAAGCTCTATGAGCAGACTTTTTTTTCAGTTTCCCAAGTGTTTCCATTAGAAGAAAATCCAGTCTTATTTCAGCTGATGAAGGCATATAAAACCCTCTCAGCTATGGACAGATGTTCCAGAAAGGATGATTACTCAGTGTTCTGAATAACCAAGGCCAGGAATGTTGAATTCTTCAACTCATAATATCAACAGCTAAAGTATCAAAAAACCTTCCAGAACATATATGTATATATGTAATGGTAAAGTAAAAATTTGCAATAATCACATATAATTTATTGTCTTAATACAGGGTAAGTGCAAGAAGTATGAGAGTCTGTGATATGCAGAAGGATCAGACAACTTTTTCAACAAACTCTTTAGTCTTTTTTGCTTTGATTGTACAAATGAAACAAAAAACCAAGAAGAAAAGAACCCAATGGTCTTGAAGTAAGTTAAAAACTTTATTCAAGAGCTGTGTTTTTAATGTCTAAAAAAGAAAGCTAACATTAATGTTTCCTCAACAGTGAAAAAGTTTTACTTATACTAATAAATGAGAAAAAGGCACACCATTCTTCTCTTTCATGTAGAGCAATGTCTCAAATACTCAGCAACTGCTTGACTTGCTGGTGCTGATAGGAGGAGAATGAAGTAGAACGTGCCCAGAACAGTACAACATGAAACTGATAACGTTATCCCGCTTGAATGTCAAGTTTGCTTTGGTAGCACATGAGTGATAGGAAGCCAGGGGAAGGGCAAAAAAAAAAGAAAATCGGCAACAACGAAAATCCCCAAGACACTTAGGGAAAAAACAACAGCTAAAATGAGCAATTGATCTCAGGGAAGATATCCAAGTCAAATTTAATCATATGCTCAGCAAAAGCAAGCAAGTCTCAGGCAAAGTGGATTACCTTTGCAAATGAGCAAGCACTGAAATGAGAGTTTACTCAATTCCTTTACATAGTCACAGACAGGAAATACAGCTTGGAAAGGAGCAGTATTGATAAGGAAAAAACCACAGCAGGGGGAAGACCTCAAAACCAGACAGGAAGACAGATGGCAGTATAAACTGGCAGAAAGGCCAGTACTGGACAGAAAAAGATCAGAAATAAAACACTGTGTGGCTCAAGGAATTTAGCTTAGGAACAAATTGTGCAACAAGATTAGGTAGGAAGGTCAGAGCAGAATTGCTGGGGCGCTTCACTGCCTTCCCTTCCATCAAAACCACCCAGGGCTTGTCAAAGTTTGTACAATGCCTGTTGGGTCACTTACAGGACAGACAGCTTGCCAGGCAAGAGTCTCAGTGAAACAAATCTTGCTGTGCACTTCTGTTTGAACAGCACTGCCTCCATCAGATTCTGGAAAGGCTCTCAAAATTCCAGCAAAATTTAATCTTCTAGGACAAGAGTAACATCCTCATCACTAACCACTGAAACAAATACCTACTGCCAAAAAATACAGAAAACCTGTAGTGTCAATGAAGCTGCACTTAAATGGGGGACCTTGCCCTGCACAAAGTAAAAGGCCACATGCCTTCCAGTGGTGTGATGCAGACATAAGCAACTACTACCTCTGATACAGATAGTAATGAAGAGAGTCTATAAGGAATAAATTCATGAAGAATGAGGAAATTATTTATGAAAACCTGATAAACTGATATCACCTGATATCCCAGTGCTGGAGGAAAACATTGCCTGTGCAGGGATCTGGAAAAATGGTTTTGATATTGAATAACTTGGTTGGCTTGTGACTACATCACTTCAATCCATGTCATAATAGCATAACCTTTACTGAGCAAGCAATATATAGCCATTTCTTCATGGTCCACTTTTACCTCTGTATATGACAGTTCCCTACACATGAGGATATTGAAATTACTATCAGCATCTGACTTGATTCACTGAAGAGGAGAATTACTCCTTTTGTAAAAATACCACCTTTATTCATACACTAGCCTTTTTAGCAGATGGAATATTTCTTTTTAATTTCTGAATTCAGTAATAACCTGGTTTTTGTTCGTTTTTTTTTTTTTTTACTCGGACTTCTCTTTAAGGTTCACACAAAACCCAGACAATATGTTTCTTTATAATCGTACTCAAAGTTTTCTGTATGAACTTGGTCAACAGTCTACATAAAGTATCATGTAACAACAGTTCTCTGGCCAGGATTGGCAGCAGGAAAACTGGTGATGCTGGAAGAGAATCAACCCAAAGAAATTAGAGGGGGGAAAAAAATAATAAATAAATAGAACAGCAAACAAACAAACAGAAAAAACACTGTGTGCACTGATGATAAATTCAGAACATACATGAAACTGGCACTGAAGATCTCAAGCATAAGTTCTGTTTTATGGTTACACTCCTTCAAATAACATCTCAATTAGCTCTAGGATGGCCCAGGGATTACATACCTGAAAGGCAGCTTGTCCTTGTCCTGTCTCATCTTACAAAACAAGGCTCCAACCTATAAACTCGTTCACTGCTTGTCTCAGTGTGCTCTGTATCCAGCTGAGGTTTGCTCACTCACTGTCATTGCAGTTTACACAAACTGAGCCTTACAAAAACCACCTTGTCCAGTCTGCCAATGTTTCTCCATCAGATGAGCAACACAAGGGAACTGACTTTCACCTTAGCTGCACTACAGGATTTCCCTGCTCCAAAACTTCAAGTACTGTTCTTGAGCTTTGGCGTAAATCGTAAGAAACAATACACATCCAAATCTGAACTCTCTTGTGAGGAAACAAAAGAGATAAGAGGAAACTCTACAAATGCTTTCCAAAAAGCATATTACTGAATGCGTGGTACTGAGAAAACTCTGGAAAATTTCACTCTTTGACAGTGCTCTCAAGTTTCAGCAATGCACAAAGAATTCATTTTCACCTTCTAATCTTGTGGATTAACTATGTTTGGGAAAAAAATCTGGAGCAGAAAAGAGACCTCCCAGTTTATAATTCACATATTAAAGAGGACCTCCTGCCATGAGCAACTGTTTCCTAAATATTGATTTAACAAAATTCATAATTTAAAGCTCTTGGGTTATGATGTTTGCATCAAAATAAATGGCTCCCAGTGCAAAAGCTGCCATACTTATGAAATATGGGAACAGATGTTTCTATAGGAAAACAAAATACTATGGAACTCAGAAAACAATGAAAAATTACAGCCACCACAAGTGAAAACCAAGAAGCCTGCAAAGTCTGTTTCTGTGCACAAGTCGCCCTGTTATATTACTAATTCTTTTGCATCTTAATTCTGTAAAGAACATTATAAGTATTTTAAATAAATTGCCATTCATTCTTAATTTCTGAGAAAAAAAAGTCAAGATTTCTTTTTATTATTTTTAAAATTAGCTACAAGTGGAAAGCCCTATGAAAAAAGAAGCCAGGTTTTCTGCTTACCTGCAAGTAGTTAAATATCCATATACTTTCTATATATATTACAAATAAACTCTTCTGGCATGCTGTTCAGCAAAGACTTAACCAATTTAATTGTTCTAGATGTCAAAAGATTTGAAGGCACAGAGTTCCTTGCAAAACATGCTCAACATCTGGCAGAACTATACTCTACTAAGGCCTTTGAATTTACTTATCTATCGAATCCTTCAGAAGGTAGCAGAAATTATCCAATTTTAGGGAACACAATCCATTTGATTTAGATTCCAAAGGCCAAAACTGGGCTTCGAGACAACGTCAGGTGAAAACCATGCTGCAAGAATTAGCTTCTCTTAAGCAGATATACAGAATGAATACCAGTAAAATGCAGGGAAATGAAAGCATGGGGAAGAAGTAACACAAAAATGGCAAAACAGTTTTTGTAATAAGAGAAATACCAGCACTAGCTGACCTTTCTAATAATACACAGAATAAAACTGGCTGTCCTTTTTTATT